TGCTTTCCTCTTCTCTCGATCGGTTCTTTCTCTCCCTTCTTGTTCTTTCTGTTTTCTTATTCAAACCCTCTTTCTTTTACCCTAATTAGTATATAATTAAGAATAAAGGATGGCAATAATACCCCACTAATTAACTTAAGGGTACCTCTTTTAACCCCCAAGAATTTGAGTTATTAATATAAACCCACGAAATATATAATTATAGCAGGAATAGTCCAAAACGCCCCTTTAAAACTTAACCAGAAATCTGACTCCAACTGGGATTATGCAAACTGTGACGGGCCGTCGCGCCTGCGACGGTCCGTCCTGCTGTTCGTCGCATAGTTCAGAAACTTGATTTTGGGTGAATGGCATGTGACGGTCCGTCCTGCCACTCCGTTACGAAGTTCAGATAGTCGATTTTCAGTACCCAATTTCAGATTTTCTAAGTGTTTTGAAACGAGACCCTGCGACGGTTCGTCGTGCCCTTGACGGTCCGTCGTGGGGTCCGTCGCTTCTGCCAGTTTTTCCAGAGTTGAAGTCTGTTGCTCAAAACGACTAAACAGGTCGTTACAACAAAAAAATTCAAAAAAGGCAAAAAGGATTTTAAACAGAAATTAGTTACATTTTGAAAAGAGCAATAATAGTCATCCTTTGTTGAGTGTTTTTTTTTCTTGCTTTCTTCTTAAAAACATAAGAAAAATAATTAAAATAATTTAGTTTGTCTTCCGAATCATTCATCTGGTATCTTTCAAAGCTTCTTCAAGTTGAATACAACATATATTTGAAACATAATGTTTCAAAATTGACGACCATAAATGTGTCACATCTAGTGAATAATTGAAAAACTCAAGTATTTTTTTTTGATTTTTTTATTTGTTTGGATGAGATATCATATATGTAGAGTGCAAGAGTGTTTTTTTTTCTAATTGAATCAGTGAAATCTTTGTATGTATTGAGATTTATAGTTTTTTTCGAATATTTTGTATCCAAATTATGATGTAAAAAACGAATGAAATTGTTTTTTGTTATAGTTTAGTAGTTGTTTTTTCTGTTTGAATCCCATTAAGTTAATGTAACTAATCGATCATGAACTATAAGTTGAATACAACAATATATGAATAAAAAAGTGAGATGAGAATATAAAGTTATAAATACAAAGTGAAATTGAATATAAAGTTGTGAATACAAAAAGAAATATTTCTTCATTTGAAATATAAAGTGAATTTGAAAGGTAAAATACAAACTAATCGATCATGAACTATATGCTGAAATATGAATACAAAAATGAGATGAATATACAAAGTTATAAATACAAAGTGAGATTGAACAAAAAAATTGTGAATATACAAGAAATACTCTATTCATTTGAAATACAAAGTGACTTTGAAAGGTAAAGTAGGCACATAAAATACAAAACCTGTTAGTATACAATTAGGTAGAATACAAAATCAAAGAGAAATACAAACTTGTTCACATAGAAATTGAGATTGAAATACAGAATGGATACCCAATAAAATATAAAGTTGTTAGCATACAGTTAGGACAAATACAATTAAGAACAAAATAAAATTAAGAAGAAAATACAAACATGTCGGTATACTAATTGAGATTGAAATACAATGTAAAAATAAAAAATATAAAACTTTTTGATATATAGATAGAATGGAATACACAAATAAAGTGTTGATTCATACATTGTAGACATACATATGTTCTCCCCGAATCTAAAATCCTAAAAGCAAATACAAATATATTAAAAATCAAACAAAATAAAAATATGAATGAATTTGTAGATTCTAATAAATTTGAAATATTAAAACTAAATAAAAAAAGTCAAAAAAAATTTATTTAATCCACTAAAAATGTGAGATGCATAAATATTAGATGATCATGTAAACAAACTTGCATAAAAAAAAATATTAACGAAAAATCTGCAATATGTGTAATGCGAAATATAAATCATAAAAGTGATATTGATATCTGTAATATATAGAATCTGAAATACATACCATTATCGGTGATCTTAAACATCAAATCAAAATAAATCTAAATAAATAATGAAAATTACCTTGCCAATCGAGAAATCAACTTTAATTAATAAAGAGATTTTGTTTAACGATGGAGAAAATTTCTTGAATTAAAATAAATATTTTGATGACCAATTTGTGAGCACCGTCAAGAAAGAGATATGGAAACATTAAAAAGTGTTAGCACATGAAAGGTGGGCGTGAAAACGTGAAAAAGAAATTTTATTGGGTATTAGATTAATAGGGAAGAGTGAAATTCCAAGAAAGAGGAGCAAGAATTCACGTAACTCTATTAAGAAAGAAAACAAAGAAATTTTGATGATTGGTAGTAATGTCTCTTTAAATTGTATCAATGGTGGATGCTTTCAATTTGCTTCATTGGTATTGTGAATGGTAAAAGATATGATAATTTCATTTAGTAAGGAAAGAGAATCATAAATTAATGGATATAAAAAAACTAGAATTTTTTAATTACCTTATATTAATATATTTGATATTTATATTTTATAAAATAAAAAATATTAATAATAAAAAAGAAACTTGCCTTAAAAGTATGAATCGGTGTAAAAAAGTGTAGATTGATGATGGATACAATTTAAACTCAAATCTGAATACATATTATTTTCTAAAATATTATCATTCTGACATTTTAAATAATATTTTAAAAAATTGTTATTTTAACTAAATATATTAGATATTATGACTTAATTACTAATTTTCGAAAATAACAAGCATTGACTTGTTAGCATGAAAAATTAAGGGATGGACATATATTTATACTCCAATATTGTAATAGCTTAGATTAAACTTCTTTTTATTTATTAAAGAATGATTAGTTTTAATGATATTAAAAATAAAAATGATTAATATTTTAATTATTAAAAATAAAGAATGATTAATATTTTAATGACTAAAAATAATAAAGAAAGATATGATAGTCAAAACACATACCTTCTCAAGAGGCATGTAAACAAAAACGGGACTTACATAAATTCCTCTAGTTTAAAGGTTAATTAATTCGATATACACTAGTTTGCAATTACATATCTTACTAATTTTTGGTGTGTCTAGACACGTTTAGATATGTCCAGATACATTAATTTCGGAATACTTGAGATCAAAATAAGGTGTAATTTATTCTATATACATTGTATCCAAGTAGCTCAACAAATAACTCACCTCTCTCTCATCTCCCTCGCCACTCTCTCATGTATTTGATATCCCAAATACATGTGAGTCACACCAAATACATAGATATACATGTGTCTAGTATGATTTGAATGTATCCAAGATACATAACAAATCTTGTTCACCTCTCTCTCTATTTTAGTGTGTGTGGTAGGAAAAATACATGTATCTAAGTGTATCTTTCTCAATATGTAATAGGAAACTCTTAATTAGTAGTAAGATATGTAATATTTTGATAGTATAAATAATAAAGAATGTATGATAGTGAAGTATGTTTAATTATGTAATTTTCCTATCAAAACATATGGTAAATAATGTGGCCCAAAAAGAATAACATAATATTACATATAATTTATATTTAGAAGTTGCTTTGTCAATATAAAGAAAATTGAAGGATTTTTCAGCTTCAGTAGCTTTCATCACATATGTTTGTGATTACAAATAAGAGACAATTAAATTCAAAATAGATTAAAATAAATTTGCATCAATAATGAAAGAAGTGATTAATTAGTTTCTATAACACTCAAATTTGTATTAATTATAATTATAGTCATGATACATACAATATAATATAATTATGTATATGATGCTATAATACATGGTATGTAGCATTTAGTTTGTACACTTCTTTATAGTGTGTACTCATTCTTGAAGCCCATTTCATATAAACTAATCATTTCCTGCATAGTGCACATTTCCTTGCACACTTGTAATTATATAAATATGGATTGTAATAGGGTATGGTGGTGTTAGACCCGTAAATTACTTAATCTAGTTACGTGCAGACATGTCAATGACTTGGGCATTGGTCTTGACATGAATGGGGGCAAAACAGTGCAACACACGTTCAAGGTGTTTGGGTGTTGGCAAGGAAACTTGAACATGCAAGGCTTACGTGCGGGCTAGAGTCATCGGCAAGGCATCGTGTTGGCTTGACAAGGCAAAGCTGTGAAGACTTGATGATGGCAAGAACAAAGGCATTTCACGTAAATTGCTGAAATAAAACTAAGTGTTGGAGGGCAGCTAAAATATTCTAAGTATTGGAAGCTGGCTAAAATACTCCAAGTGTTGGAATGTAGCCTGAAATATTCTAAGTGTTAGAATATTAATATTTCGTGTAGATAAGGAAGTAATTTGAATTAGATTCTATCTGTTAGAAATATAGTTGTTGGAAACTTAGTTTGAATCCTGTGATGACAAGTGTCGGAGAGGTGTCATTTGTAACTGCTACATGTAACTGCCATGTGCAGAAATTTTATAAGGGTGGAAATTTCGTTTAAGGATATAGAGTGTGTTTCTGGTCTTAGAAAAATTCGTGAAGCCTTCCCTTTGTATTAATTATAAGATTAATAAAGGTTGGGACAAGTTCCTGTACATTCTGTCTGTTGTTTAACTTTGCTGTTAAAGTATTTCTATACTTAGTCAAATTTGTGGGAGTAAGATAGGCTGAGTGTTGCAGGCGTTTGCAAGACTGCCTAGGGTGGTGTTCGGTAAAAATAAATCGACTCTCTTTCAATTGGTATCAGAGAGCAGTTGAACAATGGTGAAAAACGCAGAACTGTGGGAACTGACACAAAAAATCAAAGCATTCGTTGGGTTTACAGATGATACTCTGGGAGATCCTTTGTTTGTGGATTTGTTGATACCAGTCATTGATTTGAGACTTAACGCTGAGAAAGTTCAGGGGAGATTGATGTATATCGACAGAATGTTGATAAACACATCACTGAAATCTTGAATTTTCGTAACACAACTACACAACAACTTGAGGCACTGTAGAAGGAGAATGAAAACATCCGTGCAGAGATCGTTGTATTTTGTCGGGTTGTGGCTACATTGAGTTCAAATCGTGTTGAATCATATAAGGTTAAAATTCCAGAACCTAAAGCCTTTAGTGGTGCAAGAAGTGCTAAAGAACTAGAAAATTTCATTTGGGACATGGAACAGTATTTTACTGCTGCAAGGGTGTCTGACGCTGACAAGTTAAACTTTACCACAATGTACTTGAAGGATGATGCTAAAATTTGGTGGAGAACTTGAAATGCAAATGATGAAAGTGCTGGTCATTCGAGAATTGATACGTGGGATAAGTTAATAATAGAAACGTGCGATCAATTTCTTCCTAGCAACACCTCTTGGCTTGCAAGGGATAAGTTGATAAGGCTAAGGCATACTGGTAAGGTGAGGGAATACATTAAAGAATTCACCTCTGTGATGTTAGACATTCAAAACATGTCTGATGAGAATAATTTACACAACTTCATTTCAGGTATGCAAGGCAGGGCTCAAAACGAACTTCGGAGGCAAAATGTTAAAGATCTGCCTGGAGCAATTGCTGCTGCAGATTCGTCGGTTGATTTTCGAACAACTCGTCCTTTGGTGGATGTTCCCTCTTCTTCAAAAACTAAGAAAATGAATGATAAGAAAGGGGAATGGAAAAAGGATAGTCGTAAGGACTGTACAAATGACAAAGGAAAGGCACAAATGAAGGATGGAAAAGACAAACCAAAGAACAAAGATGGTAATTCTAAGGGCTGTTGGACTTGTGGCGGTCATCATTTGGCCAAGTCTTGTCCAAATCGGGAAAAAGTAAACGCTTGCTTGCTGGAAATATGAATCAAAGGGAGGAAGATGAGGAAATCGTGGCTGCAATGGCAAATTCATTGGGATTGTCCTTCATTCATATTACGTGGGTTAATAATGTTGGAGAAACATCTAGTACTTCGAATCCTCATGCTTCTCTAATTCATATAGAAATGACAGTGAAAGAACAACGTGTGATGGCAATGGTTGATACAGAAGTCACTCATACGTTTGAAGATGTGAAAATTGCTACAAAATAGGGGCTGAAGTTATCTAAAAGCCCTTCCTACGTCAAAACAGTCAATGTTAAGGCACAGGCCATTGTGGGTATGGCTAATGGTGTGTCTATGTAGACTGAAAATTGGGTGGGAAAATATAATTTGATGGTGATGCCGCTTGGTGAATTTGAGATCATACTTGGGATTGATTTTCTAAGAAAATTCCAATTTGTTCTTTTTTCTCACTTAGATGGTGTGATGGTCATGAATGGAAGCAATGCTGGATTTCTTAAAGGAGTTCATCCATTTGGGAACATTAATAAAGTTGCAAAGAAGAAAGACAAGGAATGTTCTTGTTTGCAATGTCAATCGACAAAGGGATAAAGAAGGGTGATGACACTATACTTGTTGCCTTGGTTGGAGTGAAACCTGATGTTAAGATGGAAGTGCCTGATTGTGTTGCTGAATTGCTTAAACAGTATGCTGATGTTATGCTGCCTGAATTACCAAAAAATTTACCACCAAGGAAGATATCAATCATAAAATTGAGTTGCTTCCTGGTACGGTTGCTCCTGCACAGGCTCCTTATCGTATGACTCCTAAGGAATTGACTAAATTGCGTAAACAATTGAACGAGTTATTGGATGCTGGATTGATTCAGCCATCTAAGGCTCCATATGGTGCCCCTGTTTTTTTTCAAAAGAAACAGGATGGGACGATGCGAATGTGTGTAGACTACAGGGCGCTGAACAAAGCAACTGTAAAGAATAAATATCTGGTTCCATTGGTGCAGTATTTGATGGACAAGTTGAGTAAGGCATGCTGGTTCACAAAACTTGATCTTAGGGCAGGCTATTGGTAAGTTAGGATAGCAGAAGGTGATGAACCAAAAACAACATGTGTAACTAGATATGGTTCATATGAATTCCTTGTAATGCCATTTGGACTAACTAATGCTCCGACAATATTTTGCAACTTAATGAATAATGTATTGTTTGACTATCTTGATGACTTTGTTGTTGTCTATCTAGATGAAATTGTCAGTTATAGTCGAACATTGGAGGAACATGTCAATCACTTAAGTTTGGTTCTGTATTAATTGAGAAAATACACACTTTATGTTAAGATGGAAAAGTGTGAGTTTTCTCAACATGAGATAAAAATTTTGGGGCATCTTGTTAGTAAAAACCAAGTTCGAATGGATCCTAAGAAAGTGCAAGTCATTGTTGATTGGCAGACACCTCGTCATGTGAAGGATTTGAGGTCGTTTCTTGGCTTGGCTAACTATTATAGAAAATTCATTGCTGGCTACTCAAAAAGGGCAGCAGCTTTGACAGACTTGTTGAAGAAGGATACGAAGCGGGTTTGGTTTGAACGATG